ATGTCCGGGGAGGCTCACGGATCATTTCTCCAGGTCAGTTTGTCTTGACAACCCGTCAGCATTTCCATTCTGTTTACCCGGGCGGTACTGGATATTAAAGTCAAAGGGCTGCAGCGCCAAGCTCCAGCGCAGCAGCCTGGCATTGTCCCCAGCCACCCGGTTCAGCCATACCAATGGGTTGTGATCCGTGAGCAATGAAAAGGGCTGTCCATACAGATATGGCTGCAGTTTCTTTAGGGCCCACACCACAGCCAGGCATTCCTTCTCGATGGCGGCGTAGCTTACTTCGCGGAGTAGTAACTTGCGACTGATGTAAGCCACGGGATGTTCTCCGCCATCGGCCCCGACTTGGCTCAGTACTGCTCCCAATCCAAACATAGAAGCGTCTGTTTGGATAAGAAAACGTTTAGTTGGATTGGGAGCTGCCAAGACAGGGGCATTTATCAGTGCATTTTTCAGATGTTGGAATACCTGTTCACACTCCGGGGTCCAGGTCACCTGGCGGGGCAGATTCTTCCGGGTAAGGTCAGTAAGGGGTTTGGCCACGTCACTATAGTTAGGGACAAATTTTCTGTAATACCCCGCGGTCCCTAGAAACGCTAAAACTTGGGTCTTAGTCCTAGGGGTGGGCCACTGCCTCTACTTTGGCTGGTTCGGGCTTCTGTTTGCCGCACCCCACTCTATGTCCCAGGTACTGCACCTCGGCCATCCCTATGCTGCACTTGGCCGGTTTCAATGTCAAACCAGCTTCCCTAATCCTGTCTAGGACCGCTCCTATATGGGCCAAGTGCTCCTGCCACGTATTGCTAAAAATGGCAATATCGTCCAGGTAGGCACAGGTATAGTCCTGGAACCCATCCAGGAGTCGGTCCACCATCCTCTGGAAAGTAGCTGGGGCGTTTTTCATCCCAAATGGCATGACCTTAAACTGGTACAAACCAAATGGGGTGACAAAGGCCGACTTAGGGATGGCATCTGGGGCCAGGGGAATTTGCCAATACCCCTTACATAAGTCAATAGTAGTGAGGTATTGGCCCCTGGCCATCCTGTCCAGTAGTTCATCTATCCGTGGCATAGGATAGGCATCTGACACGGTTTTCTCGTTCAATCTCCTGTAGTCCACGCAGAAGCGAGTCGTACCGTCTCGCTTTGGTACGAGCACTACAGGGGAAGCCCAGGGACTGTCTGAGGGCTCAATCACCCCCAGCTGGAGCATCTCATCGATCTCCTTGCGCATATTTTCCCTCACCGCTTCAGGGATGCGGTAGGGGGTCTGGCGCATGGGTAGTTGCCCTGGGGTCTCTACCCGGTGAGTGGCCAGAGGGGTGTAACCAGGTACATTAGAGAACGTGTCTCGTTTCTCTTCCAAAAGCTGCTGTACCTCGATACGCTCCTGTGGGCTCAGCCGGTCTCCCAGTGCAACCTCCCCTAAATCCCCAGACAACTGCCCATCTCCCAGCAGATCTGGGAGTGGTAAGCTGTCAAACTCGTCAGAGTTGGGCGCACATATGGCGGTTACCTCCTCAGAGCGCTCCTGGTAGGGCTTCATCATGTTCACATGGAGCATGCGTCGCCCTCCAGTCCCTGTGCAGGGGCCTATGATATAGTTGGTGTCACATCTCTGTTCCACCACCCTATATGGTCCCTGCCAGGCGGCCTGTATGTCAGGGTTTCTTTGCTGTTTTAAACAGCCACCCTTCCTTTTTCAGTGTCTGAGGTTTCAGCTGTAATTAACTATCAGCTCCTTCAGCATGTTGCCACGGTTACTCACCTGAGAATAATAATCAACCCTGCTGCTAATCAGTTCAGCCTATTTAAGCAGCTAATCCCAGAACCTCCTTGCCCTTGCGTGGTTTCCTGTCCCCAGAAGTCTCCTTGTTCCTGTGTTTCCTGTTTGCTCCTGGTTCCTGACTCTGGCCTTGTTCCTGACTCCGCTGACCTCCGTGCTCCTGATCCTGGCTCGTCTGACTACCCGCTCTGGTGACTGATCCCTGCTTGCCTCCTGGACTTTGCTTTTGGTGTTTTCTTTGTTGTTTATTAAATAAAGGTGTTTTTGCATCTAGATCTGTCTCTGTCTGGTTCCTGGTTCCTGACACTGTAGCTTGTCATGTCGGACAGGTTTTAAAATTAGCACTTTCTGCCCGACCTGAAAGCTACGGTCCCTGGCTCCCCGATCATACCACGTGCGCTGGCGAGTCTGTGCCGCCTGGAGGTTTTCCCTTACCGTCCTAGTCAACGCTTCCAGGCGGTCTCGGAAGGCCAACACATATGGTATGATGGGAGTGCCATCTGCGCTCCGGTCTCCCTCCCAATGCTCTCTAATCAGATCTAGGGGCCCCCTGACTCTCCTCCCGAATAGCAGTTCAAACGGGGAAAACCCTGTGGACTCCTGCGGCACCTCCCGGTAAGCGAACAGGAGATTCGGCAGGAATCGCTCCCAGTCCTTGTGGGTCTCTGCGAAGGTTCGGAGCATTTGTTTCAATGTACCATTGAACCGTTCGCAGAGCCCATTAGTCTGGGGGTGGTAAGGGGCACTGATAATAGGCTTAATGCCACAGATCCTCCAGAGGTGTTGGGTGAATTCTGCGGTAAATTGGGTACCCTGATCCAAGATAATCTCCCTGGGTAATCCCATCCGGGAGAAGATCCGCATGAGGGCATGCGCGACCGTTTCAGCGTGGATGTTGGTTAGAGCCACTGCCTCTGGATATCTAGTGGCATAATCTACCACAGTTAAAATGTACCTTTTGCCTGATGGGATAGCTTTCTTGAGGGGGCCTATCAAATCTACAGCTATTCTGCTAAAGGGTTCCTCAATTATGGGTAGGGGGTGTAGTTTCGCCTTCCTTCGGTCTCCCCTTTTCCCTACCTCTGGCAGGTATCGCACGTAGTGCAATACCTACGCACTTCCTGGCTGATCCCTGGCCAGAAGAAACTTTGGGTCAGTCTGTACCTAGTGCGGCTGACCCCTAAATGTCCGGATAGCGGAATATCATGCGCTATCCGGAGTAATTCTGCTCGGTACCGCTGCAGCACCACTAGCTGCCTCATTACTATCGGGTCTGACCCAGCAATCTGCTTGTCTGTCTCCCTGTATAAAAGCTGCTTGTCCCAGACAAATCTCTCTCCCTCCCCCCTGGGTAAGTCAGTGACAACCTTGTCCCTATATACTTGCAGCGTAGGGTCGGTTACTACTTCAGCTGCAAATTCATTAGGTGGGGCACAGGGGACACATTCTAAGGAAGGGGAAGGGTCTCTTACCTGAACCTCCAGGAGTGTGTTATAGTCCTGGGTGCGGGCCTGTTGTCGGGTGACCACAGGGTGAGCTTCTCCTGTGGTGGGCGTCTGGGGCTCAAAAGCAGGCGTGAGCCTCCCCAGATCATTCCTCAATAAAACCTCCGCCGGTAACTGCGGCATCAACCCCACCTCCACGTGTCCTGACCCCGCTCCCCAATGCAAATGTACCCTTGCTGTAGGTAGCCGGTACACTGCTCCCCCGGCTACCCTTGGTGGTGGTGGCGGGCCTGGTCGGATCCAGGTGGAACGATCCCGTAGTTGTGGGCATTCCCTTTTTTAATGTCCCCATTTCTGGCAGTGATGACAGGGCCCAGAAGCCATTACATAGACAACATTTTTAATTTGGAGTGGTTCAAACCACCTTCTAGACATTCCTGTCTTTTCTTAATATCAACTAGTGGGGTATTATACTTACTACTGCACACAGTCAGACAGATATACATTTTTTAGAGCTACACATTTTTATACAAGACAAACAAATTTATACCAAAAACTTTAAGCCAGTAGATGCCAATGGATACATTGAAAAGAAGAGTTGCCATCACAAACCCTGGCTAGAGAATGCCCCTAAAGGCCAATTTTTAAGAATACGGCGCAAATGTTCGAATGAACAAGATTATGTGAGCCAGGCAAAGATAATAAAAAATCAATTCCTAGAAAAAGGCTACGATGAGACCAAATTAACTATGGCAATGGAAGAAATACAAAATATTTCAAGTGAACAACTGTTTACCTACTAGACAAAAAAGTGCTAAGGATAAAAACACAAATGATGCACATTTTATATGCAATATCAATGGGAATAACAGGAAAATAAATAGGGCAATCAAAAAATATTAGCACATTTTACAGGGAGATCCAGTTGATTTTTTTTTTTTTTTAATTCTTTCATTTTGGAGTGCATGAAATTATAACAAGAGGGCTCGTCATGCCCCAAAAGCATTGACAAGTATATAACCAGACATATGTTAACAGTTCGTCAACATGTTGAAAGATCAGCACAATTTTTATATAACGACATAAACATATTTAGCGTTCCTGTCTCACCGATCAATGCATAACATGCTTGTTGGCAGGAACTTTTGTAGACATGCTGGGTGAAAGATTGCGATCTAATAGAGAGTGAGTGCTTACTACGTAAAAGGTAGGTTAGTTAGTGTGAGATGCCTCTCTGCGTATAATACCTATTGAGAAATACTAAAATAATAGAAATAGTAAAATAATAGAAAATTAAACAAGCTTAAATCATGTAGCTAGTGTCTGCTGAGCAAAGGACTGTAACTTGTAACATGAGAGACTCCTAAGCAAATTCGCCACTTCGTCATGACAGAGCATGTTAATCAAGCTAGGTATATCAGTACAATGTATTTCGAAACACAAGATATCATGCTGGGTGTTCTCGGGTGTGTGGCAAGGCTGGTAAAGGCTGTACAGTATGTATCACAGGCTAGGTTTGTGTGGGTGCGTGCTCATTGTGTATATACATCACGGCAATGTATTAGGCCCAAGAAGCCACGGTCTCCACCTCTCAACCTATGTTGGTATGTAACATGGGACAGTTTCAAAGTGACTTTTAATCTCTGGCTACAGACAATTCATGTGTTGGCTAGCTGCCAATTCAGTGCACATCCTTAACAAACATACATATTTATACTATTTAACTAGTGGGCATGGGTAATACTCCAGTCTCCAAGATCTAGATGTCAAAGTTCTCCGGGAGCGGAATCATGCCTGCGGCGTCGATTCTTCAGCGGTAGTGGCCGGTGCTCTGGCCCGGGTGAGCCCATCGTGTGAGGTTGTCGTGTTGTCATGGGAAGAGCGAGCAGGGGGGTCTCGATCGTCTCCCACTCCTTTTCCAACCATATATTCCCCGCAGCCGGTGCTTTAGGTGCTTCTAGGTGGGCAGAGAGCTTGTTCCAGAGGCTGTTGCACTCCTTTGCCTTGCGTTGTTGCTCACACTGATTCTGCTCCGTCTTCGCGCCATAGTGTGCATGAGGCAGTTGGTAGGCAGCCATCTTGGGGTACACCTCCCAGCCCATGATTCTCGGCAGGACGGGTGTTAAATCACAGCCGTGTGTAGCGGTGGTCGGCCGTGGGGACTGGGATGAACCCCGCCGGTCCAGTGGGGGGGCAGCAAAGCGCCGGTTGGAGAACTGGGGGAGAGGCCGTCTCACCCCAGTTCAAGCTTTCCTAGGCCTCAGGCCTCAATCGGGTTCTCCGTGTTCACCGTTTGCTGGTGAGTATTGTGAGTGCCGATTTAGGGCTGTATCTGCTTGCGGCTCGCAGTTAGCTCTGATATTCTGGTCCAGGTGCAGGAGCTCAGACGAAGCACGTCTGATCCGATCGACGGTCAGGCTCCGCCCCCAGGGAGATCCAGTTTTAAAACATATTTTACCCCCACAACCAAAAATTATTTATAGAGGTGCTGCTAATTTAAAGAGGTCCTTAGTTCAATCTAGTGTAAGGTCTACCAATGAAAATGAAACACTTTTTAAATCAGAGCAAAGGTTTTTATGGCTGTGGAACATGCCTAGCTTGTAGAACTACAAAAAATAAAGAGAGACACATGACAAATATTAAAGAGTATACAAATATTGATTTTAATATCAAAGACCAATTAACTTGCTTTTCAAAGGTGGTCATTTATATATTAAAGTGCCTCTGTAATTTCTTATACATTGGTAGGACTATCAGGTGTCTCCATATCCGAATATTGAAGCATGTCAGAAATGTAAAAAAAAAGGATTAGAGACCCACAATGTCTCGAGCCATTTTAGGACACACCACAATCTGAATCCAGACAGCCTGTTCTTCTGTCCCCTTAAATTGGTTAAAAATCATTGGAGAGGGGGAGATTATATTAAGAAAATAAGAACAGAAGAAATGAAGTATTCCCTATGCACACACTAGATCCCCTGTACGCAAACACACACTACATTACCTAAACACATACACTGTCTACAGTCCATCACAAACCCAACACAACTGAAACTAAACAATTCATACAAAGCACCACACCACAATCAGCTCACTCTACACACACACAATCCCCCAAGCAGCATCCAAACACATGCACAACATGCTTTCCTGGCCCTTTGTATTCTGGCATCCCACTTATGGAGACACCAGAGCCAAGTTACAAGCAAACGGCGCAAGTATGTCATTAAATTCTTTATTAATTGCAATGCTCATATACTTTTTTTTTCCTTTGGACAATCAGTTTTTTATTGAGGTAGATGCACAGGGTTATTTAGTAAAGTGAGAATTGTGAGGAATTCAAAATTAAATGACCCTTACAGTGTAAGAAATCCAATATAAAATCTAAATAATATTAGAGATTTCTCTGAAGCACAAAATATGCCATCAGCTCAGTTTTTAAACATAAGGTGATAGTAAGTATTTATAGATAAAGAATTCTACAACTGGATGGCATAGATTAGACTACTACATAGAGATCTGAAAAACGAATATGGGCACATTAATACAACGCTCATTAAAGTAAAAAAAAAAAAAAAACACCCCAAACTGGGAAAATAAAACCGAAAGCAACAGTACTTGGGCTCTTGGGCTTTACCGGCTACAGACCGGGTAAGACCAGCCTATACCTATAGTAAGAAAGATACTTTGCAAATAGAAAGGTCCCAGCAGGTCTGGTAAAGCAAAGAAAAATAGAGAGTGGATCACTCCACTGGCCTCAGGCTAAAACGTGAGCCTGCACTAAATGCCCACTGATCTGGCTGCTCCTGGTGCCCAAATCGGTACCCTACGAGAATCTTGCAAAACACACAAGGGGGAGTTAACTGGAGACCCTCCAAGGGTGTGACATATGCGCAAGACCCCCTTAAAGCTTTTTGCCCAGGTCAGTGGCGATGGGTGGAAGGATTCCTGGACACCTTGAGATGATGTTTCAGCTAATAACCAATGACCATCAGGTGTTGTGGATGCTCGCGGAGAGCGCGCTGGTTGAGCTTTGCCTAGAAGCTAGCCGATAAATTATCAAAGGTTTGGACAAGTATATCTACTGGTGGAGGTTGCTGAGCCAAGGAGCGATGTTGAGCAGGGCTTGGGGTAAGCAGCCATTTTGTAAACCTGTCATTCAGCGTATTGCTGCACAGATTGGCTATAATCTCTCAAGTGAGGAAAACACAAAAACCTGTCCAGTGGAAAATGGGATAATCCCCACCGGCTCAAACGGAAAATTCCAGAGAAATACCCAGCTATGTCGGAAAAACTCTATCCAGAGTAGTGTCAGTGTGGTCCCTCAGGCAATAAAAATAAGTTGGTTGCTGTGAATGGATGTAAAATATCTAGTTGAAGGTTTGATTTAAGAGAAAATCTGAGGAACTCCTACAACCTGTGTCTTGCTCGATCGGTAGCCTTAGCCACCCACTTACTTTATATACCTGGGATACATGTTAACACTTCTGAGTTGACGGGTGTTAGATGAGATTAAGGATTATTTTTTAAAATTACTTTTTTATGGACAATGCATATGGAGCTCTGCTCAATAGATAAGTTACATTTATAACAGCAGTTGAATACCTTTCAATTCACACAATAAAAATTCATGTCACATGATATTTTAAAATGCTTCCCAATCAATTGATAAGTTGATTTCTGGTGAGAGTGGCAGCCACTCTTTATATCCCTGCCACCCTCCTCATGTGGGGTGGGGAGATAGAAAGTGGTGTCACAAGTTGAGGTACAGAATAGGTTCAAGAGGGGAATATGGGAAGAAGAACACAACACGGGGGCAATTATGGCATTACCTCCTGTGATGTCACTAAATATTCCAGACAGCCACTAGAGGTGCTTCCTAGATTCACATGGAGTTTAACTCAATGAATGTCCTCCCAGTTTGTATGAGGACATCCAGCTGTAACGATACTTTCCAATCCTTGAGCCGTTCAGGAACCACCGATCGGGCCAGGCACACTGTACGAAATAACCGATCACAGAGTCTGAATTCAAGCTATGAGAACGCTGTTCGCGTTTGGAGCATGGGGGCTTTACGCTAAAATGTAAACACTGAAGTTTCTCTAACATGGCAATGTTTTACATTACAGGTTAAGTGGACAGGGACAATGCAACCAGATCATTTCACTGAAATTAAATGGTCTGTGTGCCTATTGCCTGTGTTATGGACTGAGAGAAAATAGGGAAATATCAGGCAATACTGAGGTACCCACCTACTGGCCAATAATGTCTTAAAGGCTAAAACATTACAGTTTTTAAGGACTCACTCCAATGCTGTGTTTTATAATGCAGTTCTGCATTCTAAAATACAGACAAATAACAGCCACTGATATGGGTTCAGATTCATAATGCAGTCTCTTAATACGTCATGTGGAGGCGACACTGACAATCTATGACAAAAGCTTGGCAAGGGGTCATGTTGCAAAGCTACAGGGCAAATGCCAAGAAATGACAACAAAAGGCTAGTGGATACCTGACACCGCTTCCCAGTATATAAACAGAATGAAAGGAAGGATCAAGTGTGTCCCAAGAATAATTCTGTGTAGAAAAAGATTGAGGGCGATGGGTCAACCAAATTTCAATAAAATCGCTTGAAACGCTTTAGAAATAAAATATATATAAAAGCTAGACTAAGCCTGTATAACACAGATCGAATACCACTCTCTGATGCCAAAACTAGCTGCCTAGACATATCAGTGATATTCCGTTAGTTATGAGACAGACTCAGCTGTTAGACCCCCTACTGTTCAGTACCTAAACTATCTCTAAATATAAAAATTGTGCTTGATTTTGTATGTACCCCTATGTTTCAAATGCCTATTTTGCGTTGGAGGAACGCCTTTGGGGCACCTCGCAACAATATGTTATCAGCTTATGCACTACAAATTCTAAAAGGAGTAAGATAAAATGATGCAAGGCATAAGGGTAAGATGTATTTCATGTATGGGACAAGTAGGCTGCTACAAGATTTTACAATGAAACCCAGCTACAAGGAAGAGGTGGCTTTCTGGGATACCTCTGACTGCAGTTTTCCCCGTTTAGTGTCCCTTCTGCAGTACCAACATGTACCATTCGGTTCATCACAGACAGACGGTGATGCTGAATGGTCGCTTTTAAATTATGGATTATATATAGTCATCAATAAGTCTCCACACCCCAATTAGTACACATCTGATCCAGATATCCTTGCTCCGGCAAACTTCAATAACCCAATCTTTCTGCACAATGCTTGGGGATTAGATTAATTTATTGTACCTGCTTCCTTTTCGGACCACATTTTTTTTCTCTATTGAAAATGTATTTATGATAATCGAACGTCATGTGTCACTGGTACATCATTTTTAAATGACATCATTACAGTGGTACATACAAATCGTTAAGTTAAACAATATTCTCTTTTTAGTTGATAAACCTTTGTAGGGAAGAAAATGGGGGGTGACGGGGGATGGAACGGTGCAATAGTTTCTGGACGATTGGCTAGACAGGGAAATCAATTATAAAAGACAAAAGACAGGTGTAGCGCTACATACGTACATTAAGCTTGATTAAGTTTACCCAGAGAATATTCTTTCCAAAGAAAGAGGGGCCAAAAAATCTACGAAATATCCCTATTAAAAAAAAAAAAAAAAGACTCCAATAGTGTAACACTGTGTGAGACAAACTAATAATACAAGACACAATCATGCACTCACATCCTCCTGAGCTTAACGCCAAGCTCAGGGATAAGCGTTTTTAGTTCCGTACAGGCGACCTTCCCCTTCTTCTTATCAGGAGATCTTGTGTACTTGCCTCTAGAATTGAAGTGACACAAATATGGTGCAGTATGTATATTCAAAATACCTTAAAGACTTAATCCGTATTATACTCACAAAGGTAGAGCCTCTATATCGGCTCTGTCTCAGCGCGTTGTATAAACCGGAGATATACTCCTTTAAGCAGGAACCAAAATAGCCCACAATATAAGTACTTTTAACTTTATTATATATAACAATAAAAAAGACCCTTCAGAGGCAGGGCCGGATTAACATAGGGGCTGATG